CCCCCTGCCGCGGAGGAGCGCCCAAGGGGCAGGGTGGGCAGCGGGTGCTGGAAGAGAGGAGGTCGGTGAGCGGATGGGAGGGAATGAAGGGAGTGTCTCCACGACCACAATGCACACCTTAGGCTTGATCTTGATGGTAGCGATGTCTGCAACCTGGTCGACGTCCTGCACCACGGCGTCATACTGCTCGCCACTGGCCAGCTTCACCCGCACACGCCGCCGGTTCGCCACCACGTGTGCGTTGGTCACAATGAGCCCATCCGGAGACACCAGGAAACCCGAGCCGTTAGAGATGGGCACATCACGGCCCGAAAAGGGATGCCTGCAAGGTGGGCACAGGTCAGGGAGGGGTGGCAGGGACCCTGAGGGGACTGGTGGGGACTCAGGGGCGGGCAGGCAGGGGCCAGGCAGACTGGGTGGCCCAGGCTGGTAAGCCTGGAAAGAATCGGGGGAGTGAGGATGTCTGGGCAACAGCACGATGGGGGAGACGCCTTCAGTTCCCCATGAAAGGCCCCCACCTCGAGAGTCCGCACACACGCAACAGGGGAACAAGCAGGAAGAATCAGGAGCCCGCGCACAACTGCAAAGGTACGACCCCGCTGGGACTACAGAGGCACGGTGGGAAGCTGACATGAGCCGAGAGCTGCAATGGATGCTGCAGGCTCTTTGGGAAAGAGCGGCAAGGAGGTAAGTAGAAGGGGTTGTGATCTGCACAAAGAAGTAGCCTGAACAGACAGAGCCTCGCCTCGGAGCAGGTAATAACCACCTGGGAGGTGATGGGTACCTCTTCTTTAGACAGCTAGAGGAAGACTCAGGATCGCAGGCCCTGGTTCCCATGGGGGACATCAATCACCCTGACCTCTGCGGAAAGGCCTGGTGCTGACTGAGGCAAGGCATCTAGTGACACAAGACACAGAAAGGGCTGAGGAGATCGGTGCCTTTTTGCCTTGTTCCTTGGGCCTCCCAAGTCCCTGTGTCCAGAGACAGAGTCTGTGGGAATGCAGCGTTACACAGAAGAAGATCAAGGGAGGGATTGCTGAAGCCAACGGGACACGCACAAGTCTGTGGCACCAGACAGGATACACAAAGGGGGCTGATGTCCCTGAGAGTGCTCAAATGTCACAGTGGTAAAGGGGGGCTCCTGATGGCTGGAAAAAAGCAAATGTCACACCAGCCTGCAAGATTGGCAAGAAAAAGGATCCTGAAAACTGCAGGTCAGTCAGCTTTGCCCCCATCTCTGGGAAAGCTATGGAGCAAACGTTCCCAGAAACACTTCTCGGCACATAGCACACAAGGAGGGGACTGGGAGCAGCCAGCACAGACTTACCAACAGCAAATCATGCTCGACCAACCTGGCTGGCTTCTGTGAACAGATGAGTGGCTGTGCAGGTAAGGGGTGAGGAGTGGATATCGTTTACCTTAAGAAGGTTCAGCATGGTCTCCCCTGGTACCCTTCTAGCCACGCAGGTGACATGCGGGCTGATAATCAGATAAGGTGAATGGAAAACTGGCTGGACCACCAAGGTGCAAGCCCAGCTGGTGGTCAGCTACTAACACCACACCTCAGGAACTGAGAGAAGGGCCAACGCCATGTAACACCTTTCGTGTTCTTGAACCGGAGGATGCACGCACTCAGCAAGCCCGCAGGTGACACCACACTGCAGGAAGCAGTCAACAAGCTGAATGGCAGGGCTACTATTCAGAGGTGCCTTGACAGGCTGGAGACACGGACGGGCAAGAACATTATGGAGTTCAAAGGTAAATGCAAAGTCCTGCTCCCGGGACAGAGTCATCCTGCGCCACAGGACAGCCTGGGGC